ACTTCTATTTTTCTCATTGAAGGAGAATTATGGAAGATACGAGAACGGAATTATACGACTTTTGTTTCTCGAATATTTTAACGCTTAAATCTAATTCACGCTTCAACAATAAAATTAGCAATACAATTCTCCGTGTCTTATTATCTATTCATCTATCTATTTACACGGTGCAACCGAAAGGATCGGGTCATTTGAACTGAGTGATCAATGCTTTCATCTATCCCATTGTTTCTCGTATTTCACTGTATACTACATCTTTGGAAATCATGAATAGACCTTCCCTGGGAAGACTGCGATTAATGTAGTATCTCTTCCTATTCTCAGCCGTGTCCTCGTCTTTCAATGGTACGCAAACGCCATATATTTTATCTTCACAAACACGGCATAATACAAATCGACCCAGGGGACTGACACTAGCAATTTTTATCCTTGCCAACACATACGCTTGTGGCCACTCAACATTAAAGCGATCATGTAAATACAAAATAAGAACCTCAGATTTTTATTAGTTTTCCCTTCTTTGAGCAAGCCATATAGCATCTTAAGTTTCTTTGTCCTAAAGTTTGGGGATCACATTGCGTATATATATATATATATATATATATATATATATATATATATATATATATATATATATATATACTGTTTATATGTTGTTTTTATAGATACAAATATTTAGGTAAATGCTCTGTTTATAATAATGAACAGTATAAAACTACATTTACCGGCCTGACTATTACTGCGATTGATGATATATATATATAAACAGTGACTATTACTGCGTCTGATGCAAGACTCTTCGTTAAGACGAATCGAGTTCTCCGGTCACTGGCGTTTTTAAATACGGTTAAATTCTCTATCATCCCTGCCGTGTGCCAATGGTTTAGGGGTAAAATCTCCGACTGATACCAAATCAGTCAGGTTTCGACCATGGCTTGAGGCAGTCGGATATTTAGCCACACTGATGAGCTGCGAAACAGTCTGTCTATGGATGACAATATATGTTAAGACATATTTTGTTGTATAGTTTAGACATGTTCTGTTTACTTATTTTCGATATGATCCTTTCATATTCGAGGTTAAGCTTTTTGGTGTTGTTATTGAAGGACAAGAGAAAATCACTGTGTTGATACATATTTCTTTTATTTCTAAGTACTTTCGACATATTCATGTCATCATCAGGGTATTGTTTATTACAAAATAAATATTGTAGTATTCATTATTGTCAGAGACAACATTGTTTATAAATTTAAATGTCCTCTGGGAGATTGTATCTCTCATGGTTGGACGCACTACAACAAAGTTGGCGACTAACTTTTTATTTGAATAATATGTCTAACATTTCTAAACATTGACAACAACATGCCTGTCCACTGTCACAATTCAGAAAAAAATTCTTGTTGAAAATATCTCTATACTTTTTCACGAAAAGAATAAACATAAACTAAAATTTCTCGAAACTATCTATATTAAAAATTGAAACCAAACCTTATTAAATTAATTATGAATACTCCACAAATGTTTTAAAATGTGTATAATAGATAGTTTGAAATGCCAAGGATTACACTAATAATTTCTCTTTTTACTATTCATTTCGTAAAAACTCCCCAAACCATACTTAGTTACTTCCCTTTAAACGGTTTAACGGTCACGCACTGACGCGGCGTTCCTCACCCCATTTATAAGAAATTTAACATTCAGATAACACTGTCTCTGACAATAATGAATACTACAATATTTATTTTGTAATAAACGATACCCTGATGATATGGATATGTCAAAAGTAATTGGAAATAAAAGAAATATATATCAACACGGCGATTTTTTCTTGTCCTTCAATAACGACACCAAAAAGCTTATCCGCGAGTATGAAAGGATCTTATTGAAAATAGTAGAATGAAACGAAACATATCTTAATGAAAACATTCTGCCGAAACATATATGTGTGTGTGGGTGTGTATGTGTGTGGGTTTGTGTATGTGTTTGAGTGTGTGTGTGTGTGTGTGTGTGTGTGTGTGTGTGTGTGTGTGTGTGTGTGTGTGTGTGTGACTTGGAAAATAACCGAGTGGACGTCATCCAAAATCAAATGGGAATAGTTGTAACATGGGCGTTGTGTCCCTGACGCATACAGATATAAATTTGGGTCCCTGATGAACCTCTCAACACAGACAGACAAACAGACAGACATTCAGATATAAATAGGGATAGAGAGCAGAGAAGGCTACGTCAGACGGAGATTCGATGACCGAATTAGGGGTGAAAACCACCTGCGGAATACAGGACGAAACGAATTTTATCTAAAGTTAGAATTTGGAGTTACCTATGATAAATCTCGTTTCTAGTTTTCCGGGGAGAATAGGAACATAAATTGTCCAATGTCTTCTGTCTAGGGTTAGTATGATTTTCTTTATCTATTTTCTTTATCTATTACATAGCCAAATTATTCTGAATTAATTTTTACTTTACAAATCTGAGTTCATTATAGAATAGGATGGATATTAAATGTTTTCTATTGAATTAATTATGAAATCTTTTCTATGTGCAGGAATTCGCTATTGTAGTTAAGTAGACGTAGGTTGATTGTTTTTATCATTTTATAAAAATGTTTTAAAGTTACCCTTTTTTGAATTGATTAGTACATATCTGAAAAGTGGATTCTGTTATATTAAGTTCATATGCGAAGTTAGTTGTTTTCAAAGATTGTTCTCAAATGTTTACTTTGTATTTTTAGCTAACGTAAATGCATTGTCAACACCTTCTATGTGCCGTGTTCCTTCAGGAAATGAGGGATCATGGCTCTTCACAACTTCCTGTCTTTTACAGCTCTTAGTAATGTTTGTCTTTTTACTATCTCTGCCAAACTCTGTTCTGCCAACCAATTATACGAGTTCGTTAGGTAAGTTTATTTGCTGCTTTTCTGTGTTTCTCTCTTGCCTTCAATATGTCTTCTCTTGCCTTCAATATGTCTTCTCTTGCCTTCATTATGTCTTCTCTTGCCTTCAATATGTCTTCTCTTGCCTTCATTATGTCTTCTCTTGCCTTCATTATGTCTTCTCTTGCCTTCAATATGTCTTCTCTTGCCTTCAATATGTCTTCTCTTGCCTTCAATATGTCTTCTCTTGCCTTCATTATGTCTTCTCTTGCCTTCAATATGTCTTCTCTTGCCTTCAATATGTCTTCTCTTGCCTTCATTATGTCTTCTCTTGCCTTCAATATGTCTTCTTGCCTTCAATATGTCTTCTCTTGCCTTCATTATGTCTTCTCTTGCCTTCAATATGTCTTCTCTTGCCTTCATTATGTCTTCTCTTGCCCCTTCAATATGTCTTCTCTTGCCTTCAATATGTCTTCTCTTGCCTTCAATATGTCTTCTCTTGCCTTCATTATGTCTTCTCTTGCCTTCAATATGTCTTCTCTTGCCTTCATTATGTCTTCTCTTGCCTTCATTATGTCTTCTCTTGCCTTCAATGTCTTCTCTTGCCTTCAATATGTCTTGTGAGGGTCAAATGCTACATACACTCTGTCTATTTTGATTCAATATATAAGCATCCTTTTTGTCTCCATTTTCTCTAAACCTTCGTCATTATTTACATTTTCAGTCCATGGTATTCCCAGCATCCTTCTGTAAAACCACATTTCTGTTGCCTCAAGTCTCTTTTTCATATCAGGAGATTGTCCAGAATTCACTTCCAGACAAGAGAAAAGATCAATATAGCGAGTGCAAATTGTTGATTTAACGTGTTTTTAAAAAATTGCGTTTTATATATTGTTAAAATTTGGTATATTTATAGAGGAAGAGTGCTCAATATCGGAGATAGAACGATTATTGAGATAGAAGGCGTGGCCATAGGAATCAACACTGCTTAGTGACTGTAAGTTTACGCTTTACAATCTTCAGAACACGCTTTGAAAATAAATAACATTAAATATGAACCAAGTCTGATGATCGCACTTAAGTATGAAACTTAGTCACAATTCAGTATTGATTCCCATGTCCACATTGTCCATCTTCCCTGTTTGTTTTCTGTATTTCTCTTGCTCACTCTATCTATATGAGTATGCATATATATATATATATATATATATATATATATATATATATATATATATATATATATTACATGCCGTAGAATGGTAGCTGGTTCGTTAGTTCTCGTATACGAATATACAAGCGTTGTGATTGCTGTAGACTGATGATTGGCAAACTAGTGCCGCACACCGATTTGAGAGTCAATACGATTCCTACCGACACCCATAGCCTTGGGCCAAACTAAAGTAACTTTAATGTCTACAAAACTAGTGGGCCATCTTCGTGTGAAAGATTCGCATCAGTCAGTATTTTGTCAGTCACTTCAGTATTTTTACATAAGTCGTATTATTATTTTTTAAAATAAAATTATTCTAAAAAGTATCTCGGTACATTCTAAAATTAACAAGCAGACATTAAATTAAGTGAAACTAATTGATTAATCACATCATTTTAAAATTAATTATGAGATAAATTTTACAATTAATCATTAACGACCTGAATGTTTATGTTGGGCAAATTTTAGCCAGAGGCTGAACTGATGAAGATGTTTATATTTCTTTATTTAAAATGTTATAACGTAATTCTACATTCTGGGCAGAATAAAGAAAAAATATCGGTTTGATTATTATTAAATACTCGTATTGTTATACCTACCTGGACTAGCCAGAAGCCCATCGGAGTTAAATGAAATATGAAATGTTTATGCTACAGGGAGTGGGGGGGGGAGACGTCTCCACAAAAGTAACTCTTCATGAGTGAGAGTTAGGGTTAATCATTGGCGTTTGAAACGTCTCCAGACGGGAAATGTTAAGGAGTCTTGAGCAGTTTTTGTCGTTAATCCCATGTATGTGTAGAATTTCCACTTTACCCCCGAAGTTGTGACATAAGCTGTTTGAGTAGGCGACGCTTAAATATCTACTAATATTGTTATCATTACTATTCGTGTGAGGAAATAAGAGACAAATGTTGTTAATTAATGAAAGGAGGTTTTAGCAGGTAGAAAAAGGAAAGAGACAGAGTAAACGAGTGGGGAGAGGATAGACGAGTGGGGAGAGGATAGACGAGTGGGGAGAGGATAGACGAGAAGGGAGAGGATAGACGAGATGGGAGAGGATAGACGAGTGGGGAGAGGATAGACGAGTGGGGAGAGGATGGACGAGAAGGGAGAGGATAGACGAGTGGGGAGAGGATAGACGAGGAGGAGAGGATAGACGAGAGGGAGAGGATGGACGAGTGGGGAGAGGATAGACGAGAAGGGGGAGGAGGATAGACGAGAAGGGAGAGGATAGACGAGAAGGGAGAGGATAGACGAGTGGGAGAGGATAGACGGGGAGAGGATAGACGAGAGGATAGACGAATGGGAGAGGATAGAAGGGGAGAGGGACGAGTGGGGATGGATAGACGAGTGTGGAGAGGATAGACGAGTGGGGAGAGGATAGACGACAAGTGAGAGGATAGACGAGTGGGGAGAGGATAGACGAGAAGGGAGAGGATAGACGAGATGGGGAGAGGATAGACGAGTGGGGAGAGGATAGACGAGAGGGGAGAGGATAGACGAGTGGGGAGAGGATAGACGAGAAGGGAGAGGATAGACGAGTGGGGAGAGGATAGACGACAAAGGAGAGGATAGACGAGTGGGGAGAGGATAGACGAGGAGAGGATAGACGAGAAGGGAGAGGATAGATGAGTGGGGGAGAGGATAGACGTGTGTGTGGAGGATAGACGAGTGGGGAGAGGAGGATAGACGAATGGGAGAGGATAGATGAGAAGGGGAGGATAGACAGTGGGGAGAGGATAGACAAGAAGGGAGAGGATAGACGAGTGGGGAGAGGATAGACGAGTTGGGAGAGGATAGACGAGAAGGGAGAGGATAGATGAGTGGGGAGAGGATAGACGAGTGTGGAGAGGATAGACGAGTGGGGAGAGGATAGACGAATGGGGAGAGGATAGACGAGAAGGGAGAGGATAGACGAGTGGGGAGAGGATAGACGAGTGGGGTGAGGATAGACGAGTGGGGAGAGGATAGACGAATGGGGGAGGATAGATGAGAAGGGAGAGGATAGACGAGTGGGGAGAGGATAGACAAGAAGGGAGAGGATAGACGAGTGGGGAGAGGATAGACGAATGGGGAGAGGATAGACGAATGGGGAGAGGATAGATGAGAAGGGAGAGGATAGACGAGAAGGGAGAGGATAGACGAGTGGGGAGAGGATAGACGAGTGGGGAGAGGATAAACGAGAGTAAAATAGACTGAAAAATAAAGATATTTAAAATACATATTCCCACAGATGAGCTGACTTCGTGTCAAAAGCATTACTGAGTAAATAACTCTATTCGCGCGCACACATGCCTCTATAAACATACATATTATTGTAATATAACACTATCTATCTATCTATCTATCTATCTATCTATCTATCTATCTATCTATCTATCTATCTATCGTGTGTGTGTGTGTATATATATATATATATATATATATATATATATATATATATATAATGTATTTGCGTGTGTGTGTATGTATGCCCCCATCAAGTGGTAATGCTTAGACTAGCGTAGATGTGAGTTCCAGCTGCGTCGCCAAGAGATCCGCCTCACTTTAGTTTTCATATGCACATCTCTTGTGAAAATGATACGGACTAGTGTGCAAATTCTTACTCACGGCCGTAGCAAGTTTGCACCCCACCCCAACTTAAAACACTGGCGACGGGGCTAGTGAGTTCGATCTTTAATGGCCATCCTATATCCATGGCCTTGTGTCTGGCTTAAACTATATGCATGTCCCAATAAAGATATTTTATATTTCTAACGAAATTTCGTAAATAAGTAATTATTATTATTATTATTATTATTATTATTATTATTATTATTATTATTCACCTATCTACTCCTCTTATCGTTGTTGTTATAGTCAGAAATTTTCAACCGCAGCGCTGATATAAAATATTTATTAAGAAAATATGAATAAATAAATAGTTCGGGTCATAATTTCCAGGCTACAAATATCTGCAGAATTTTGGCGCTTACATTTAAAATGTTGCGATCAGGATAAAGACACCAGTACACATAGATAAATATCTCATCAGATTTATTTACTTTGCTATTCTTTTTATGATAATTTCCTTCTCGTAACAATGATTAATAAACTGTTTTTACAACCTGTTGAGGAATTGTATCTCAACTGTATATTTTTACAAATGCAAACTTGTATCAGATAAAGTTAATTTCGTAAATATTTCTATCTCTTTCATAGTAGCTAACCAAATTATTTTCATAAACTATTAATTGTAAGTTCAATTCTTACAGAGAGTTCCATTAGCCTTTACGCAGTATCCAGGCTGGAATTAAAGTGTAGTATCTGTTCACAATTCCTTTTAAAGTTATGAGGAGAGCCTGATCCCGGGGATTTCAAACAGGTGGCATCACATTCCTCATTGCACTAAAGAGTGTTAGGGTTAATGGGTCCAACAGGAACGTATCAGTGGTCGCCTGGACGAGCTACCCTTCGTTAAACCGACATTGTGTCACGTCATACCACCATGGGGATCAATCTGATTTTATTTACTAAGCTTAGTTTAATTTTTGGTACATGAGCACACAGAATCGAACTTCCTACACATTAGCAATAGTCAACCAGAATAGTTCGCTGACCACTATCCGACACCGAGGCGATCGGAATGTTGATATTTGTTGGAATTAACTTACAAGAATAATCACGTTCTAATACTCAACGTGTCACGCCAGCCATGGTATTTTTTTATGTTCAATTGTCGCGTCTTGTGTACTATATAACTAATGAGAGATTTATTTGAATGGGTTAATTTTCGAGGTTTCTAATATTTTGGTTGGTTGGTAATTTTCGTTTGCTTTCGTGGAGTGGAAGACGCAGCTGTCATTGCTAGTATTAGCGTCGATCATCACCGAGATTCTCTTTATAAAAACAACCACCACACCAACAACAACAACATTAATAATCATAGTGTAGGATTTTGAAGGTTAACGCTAACGAAGCCGTTGTTGCAGTTACCGCGTCTATTGAGAACCATACTGATGGCGATGTGTGTGCTAATATTATTGTTGATACTGTTGCCATAGGCAATGAGATTGGCGCGCAACAAGTGCCCTACATCACCTTTACTTCATCCCTCCAATCATCATTCCTTTACGTTTCTCCCACACCAGTTTCTTTTCTTTTCTTTTCTTTTCTTCTTTCTACTCTTTCTCTTTCTTCGTCCACCCCCGCAAGTTTTACTTATTTTTATTTTCCTTCTTATATTGTGACCTTTTTCATACTGTTTTACTTTTCTTTTTTCCTCCGTTCGTCTCTTTTGACGCATTTTTCTATTTCTCTTTTTCATTGCAATCTTTCATTTTCTTTCTTTACTCTCGCTTTTCATATTTTTCCTTCTCTAGTTTTTACCCTTATTTGCTTTCTTTTTTCATTCCTTTTTATCTCTAGGCTTTTACGTTTCCTTTTTCCCCAACCCTTTCTTTCTATTCCTCTTTTCTCTAATCTTACTTCTCTAGTTCACGGCGTTCTTTCATTTTAATTTGCTCCTCTAATTGTCTCTTTCTTTTTTCTTCAGCTTTTCTTTCTCTTTCCCTCTTTTTCTCAACCTTTCCCACCCACATCGAATTAAAAAAAACTGTAATTGTTTCTTCCATTTTTCTTCCATATCTCACATCTTATTTTTTATTCTTCACTAGTCTCATAAATATTTATATAATTTTTCTCAGTCATTCCAGTAACAATTTCCCTTTTCTTTCGAAATCTTCATCATTTATTAGTATAAACACATTTTTTATAATTTATATAAATAATAATAATAATAATATTTTTATAACCTCAGCAATCTACTATTTCTATCTTTTTTATATAAACTCAAAATTTTCCTTCATTTCTTTCTTTTTTTTTTTGCTTTAATTTTTAACTTTATTATTTTTTGTTTGTAGTTTCTTTCCCCGACGATTTCATTCTATCTGTCTTGATATTTATAAAGTGTACGATACAAAGCCAGATGGTGGGAAATGAAGGTAGATAGTTTCCGCTTGGCCCATCTCCAAGGAGAGAGGAGGGCCTGCCTGACTCGATAATCATTATTAAAAACTAGCATATTTTTAAAAATATGTGATCGAACCCTGATTCCTTCTCTTTCCGTCACTCTTCTTCGACAATTTCCATTCATCACTGTTCACCTTTTGTCCATTAGAAGAAGAAGAAGAAGAAGAAGAAGAAAAGATACTTTCTCATTATCTGTTTTTGTGAAATTCCTATCACTCACATTTACCCATCTTATCTCTTCTTTCAATCTTTACAGCTTACTCTTTCTTGAAATTCATCTCTTCTCCCAGTTCAACTGACCGCTCAATTAGCCGAAAAAATTCTTTCACTTACAAAATTTGACAATACAAAACTTCGATTTCATTTTGTTCGTACTGAGCCTGTAAATCTGTTGGTAGTGAGTTCAAATCATATTGACTGCCTTAAAAATTTACCTTTGTTAATTCCTTTTCAACACTGGAACTGAAATTAAACTACTTTTCTTAGTTTAATCCTTTTTCGTTATTTTTTTCTTTCTTGCCGGTTCGTTTTTCAATTGATGGGATTACTCGACTTTTTTTTATTTTATTTCTCATTCCTCTCATTCATTTTTATTAATTTTTAATTTACAAAATTTTGTTTTCATTCATTTGTTTTTCTCTTCATTTGTTCTTTTTTTGTTTATAGTTGTTCAGTTCTTTCTTTTTTCTTTCTTTCTGTCCCCTAGCAGTTCGTCACACCCGTAGCCAGTCGGCACTGCATCAGAAAACTTCCGACTACAACCACCGTCACCAGAGAGAGATAAAAAAATGAAAAAAAAAAGACCTAGTCCCCGCCATCTCCACCGTCTCCACTCGTCATTGGCTGCATCTATATATCTCTCTCTCTCTTCTCTCTCTCTCTCTCCTATCTGCTTGGCTACAGTTGCTGTAGCCGTTGCTGCTGCTGCTGTTGCTGCTGCCGCCGTCATTTCACTTGCTGTTCTTCTTGTTTTTGCTGTTACTGCCGCTGCTGTTGCCTCGTTTGCCTTTCCATCCTGCACCGCCTCCGTCCTCTGCAGCCTTCACCGCCGCCACCACGCCTGCTGTGTTGCGTGGTACGGCTGTTGTTGTTATTTCAGCGGTGGTGGAAGGACCTACAGACGGGAGCAACACATGTTGGATCTCTTACCGCACGGTCTCATTTGGAGGCCGTGGGGCCTCGTCAATGTCGCATCCATCGCCGCCGCCACCGCTGCCCTGTTCTTGTTATTGTTATCCGTATTCATCTTTTATTTATTCAGTTATTTTTCATTTTCACATTCGTCGTTGCCGTCATCGTCACCGTCATACCTGTCCTTGTTTTCGGCTTATTATGCTTCTTGCCGCTTTTCTTGGCGGTGGTGGTGGTGGACTTTACCTTTCCTGTTACCTGTGTCTGGGGTGTGGACCACCTCAGGTAAGTCAATCTTTGATTGCGTTGTGTCGGACTGTCCCGCTACCTGCTTGCTCTTCAGGTAATGCCAGGTGGGAGACGGGAATGACTGTTAGATGAGTGACATAAGAATGGGAGGTGGATCCTCGTCTCAGAGTCAGGGGTATTGGCCATAATCGGTCTATGTATGTCTCTGTATGTTTGTTTTTGGATTAAAGTTTTTCTATATCTGGTGACAAGAGAATAGTTCAAGAATGTGTTGTGTCTGTGTGTAAGTATTGCAGCGGGGCCTCTAGGTGCATGTATGTAGGAGAAAGAGGCAGTTCTTGTATATATCCTAATTATTTGTGGAATTAAATCAACAAAGAAACGATAAATAAAATCCCAACAAAACACGAAGGTAACAAGAAAAAATGTCAATAAAAAATGACTAAAAAGGTAAAAATAAACAAAATCAACTGAAGGGAAAGCAGAGAGAGAGAGAGAGAGAGAGAGAGAGAGAGAGAGAGAGAGAGAGAGAGAGAAATAAATAAATAAAAGAAAATGGGATCATACGAATTAAAGAGATTAAAAAGAAAGGAATATACAATATAAAAGTTAAGTCCATCAGGGAGACCTAAGTAATATATATATATATATATATATATATATATATATATATATATATATATATATATATATATATATATATATATATATATATATATATATATATATATATATATATATATATATGTGTGTGTGTGTGAACAGAACAGCTTGTTATGGTATGGTGAGTTCGATCCTCATTCGAGGTTGTATACTTATGGTCTTGTATCTGATTAAAGCTTAATAAATATCTATGTATACATGAATATATGTGTTAGCATTCGTGCCAAACGGCCTTAAAAGAAGACAATCTGAAAATAAAAGTTAAAGCAAAGAAAAAGTGCATGTATTAAGTTGTTGCTGATACTTTTGTCCAACCAGCAAAAGCCTTAGAAAACAATCGCCAATCATTGAAACGTGATACACGCTTAACAGTCAAATTCTTCAGCAGAGCCTTAGCGACAGGGAAAAATGTCTTTGCTTTTCCATCGTTTAGCATTATGCTTGTAAAATCAGTGATGTCCTAACTAAATCGATATCTCCATATGGATTTCACCTTAAACGAAAAACGAAATGTACATCTCAAGGCTAGCAAAAGCAGAAGGTAAAATTGCAAAACTATTGTTTAAAAATGAACAATTCTTTTGGACGTTTTATTTCTTGAATAAATAAAACATGAAAGAAAAAGATAAACAGCGTGTAAAGAGAAAAAGTAAAGGAAAGACAAAAGAGAATAGAGAGCGAAGGAATGAAGGGAAATAGAATGTAATAGAGAGAAAGAGAGACAAAGAGCGCCAGAGGGAAGTCGAGAAAGAGATGTACAATTGTAAACAAATTATAAATTCGACTTCTTTGAAAGAAGATATTTAATATTTTATATATAAAATTCAACTATACTTTTAAGTTGTGACAATTAGAGTTTTTATAGCGAAATAATATGGTGAGAACGAGATAGATAGATAGATAGATAGATAGATAGATAGATAGATAGATAGATAGATAGATAGATAGAGTAGGTTTAGACTGAGTAAAAAGGAAGATCTAAGAATGTTATGAAAAAAGAATGAAAATATGAGGAGAGAAGTGAAAAGTAATTTCAAAACAGAAGAAAAAAGAAGGAAACCTACAAAGATATAAATAAAAATATGTTTTCATAAGTTGTTGAATTGATACAGACAGATATAGATATATAGATATTTACTAAACTCGCGCCACAGTCGATCGAGGGTGGAGAGAACTGCGGGTGACTTGCAGGCATCCTCTTTAGATTTCGAACAAATGTTCAGCTTAGCTAGACGAACAAATTGTTAAGTCGGATACAAATGTAGAAACACTCACATACATAGGCACACCTTTGGTGTAGACATCATTCCCCCGACACCAGACACTGAGAGATGAAAAGAAGAACCTGTATATATCTAGGAAAGACGGATCATTCAATACGGACATTTCAATAAAACACAGACACAAATAAATTGATAAAAAAAAAAAGAACAGAAGTAAATATGTAAAAGGTCTGCTTGGTGGGTGTGATAATTATTTATTCCCAATGAGCGCAAGTGGTCAGTGTTCAAGCCCATAGAAAAACTAGGATTACGAAGGCTGATTTACAAGGTCACCCTAACTTCGCATATTAGCGTAGCGCAATGTTGTTGCTCTGAATTTCTCTCATTTGGCTTTGTACCAGACTAAGTTAAGACAAATATCGAAAATACTACGCACACACACAAATGCTATAAACACACACACACACACACACACACACACACACACACACACACACACACACACACACACACACACACACACAAATGCTATAAACACACACACACACACAAATGCTATAAACACATACACACACATATATAAATATATGTATTCATATATATATTAGTGCATATTGATATGCAAATATACATATACGCACATATATATGTGTTGCCTTGAAATGTGCATGTATGCATAGATGTGAGCATATATATCTGCTTGTATATGTATACGCACATTCATATGTACAGGTCTGTGTATGTGCGTGCATACACAAGGGAATGCATACAAGTTTATATATGTATACACAAGCTACACACACACACACACACACACACACACACACACACACACACACACATATATACATATATATATTAAGTTGAATCATTATGTCCGTTAAGTCCGTAGATTGATACATAATTATTAACTAAGTTTAGATATTTGTTATTAATACTCGGCACTGAATTAAGCGCATTGACAAGGGAAGAGGTTGTCTTAGGAAATATTTATTGTGTAAAATAAATGCTTTTATCATTACATTACGGACTTTTGTACCTATGTGTATATGCATATGTGCTACGTACACACATACATACACACGCGTGTATTTGTGTATACGCGCTTGTGTTCATGTGTGTGTGTGTGTGTGTGTGTGTGTATTAATCCAAGAAATTGGAAGAGAAGAAAGTTTCTAAACAGGAACCACCAGTTTAATAAATGAAATCATTCAAACCAATC